CATGCAGTCAAACATTTTAATCACACTACTAGCCCAAATACTTCAGAACACATAGTTCTAATACAAATAGATATTACATGTATTGATAAAAGTTTAGAAAAACTACCTTTATACTCCAGATAAATAAAAATAATATATTTTTTATTTTAACCAACGTTTTGCCATTGCGGCTTCATCAAACTTCATCAACGGCAAAACGTTGATTGAAATAAAAATATATTCTTTCAATTTATCTAGAGTGTAAAGGTTGTTTTTTCTAAACTTTTATCAATACATGTAATATCTATTTGTATTAGAACTATGTGTTCTGAAGTATTTGGGCTAGTAGTGTGATTAAAATGTTTGACTGCATGTATTTTCGACTCCAGTTTCTCTTTCTCTCTTACTACCATTGCTGATTTAATCTTAAAGTTGCAAACAGATATTTCAGATGTTTCTTTTGCCTGCAATAAATCACTGTCACTATTTCTTGAAATCAAATCAAGGTATGAAAAATCTTGACAATAATTGTTTCTTTCAGTTAAGTTGGATTGCTAACCAAAGCAACTCATCTTGTCTACATTAAGTCTTTGAAGATCAGTGTTTTAAAATTTTGTCAGCCTCTCACTCTCTCTCTCTCTCTGATTTCAAGAGAGTTAGTTAAAATTATTAGTTTTTATGATAGTTTGTCTTGTTTTTTCTTCATGGAAATAGCAAAGCTATTAAGGGATTTGTTTGTTACTTTGGGAATTAGGGAAACCATTAATGGTAATTAATTCTCACTGCTGTTTCTGGATTCAGGTTTTCAAGCACAAGCCTCATTTTATGTAAAACAACATTGTGGTGTAAAATTCTTGAGCCAGCAAATCTGAAAGATTTTTCTACCAAACAAAATGGATTAAAATTATTGAAAATAAATTTCTGTTTAAAAACCAAAGATCTTACTCATATTTCAACTAAGAAAATTGCTGTTAGAGAGAGAAATAAAACAATATACAGCTATTTAACTAGTGTCATTTTATACCTGAAAGAAAACTTTAAATGGGGGTGCAATAGGTGGTTACAGCAATAAAACTGATATATAAAAGAACCTGAAATGATTTTCACTTTAAAACCTTAATTTCTAAGTTGGCTTAGTAGGGTTCAGTCCTTCATTTCTTTGCACTACACTTGGTTAATCACATTTTATGATATTGACTTGTATGTGTTAGTTCAATGTTGTACCATCAAAGATGTAAGCCATGGCACAATAAACAAAACGTTTAGCACCCATATATTTGGCTCCTAGCAAATTTACAACCATTTATCATTGGAATGCTTGCTAGATAGTAGATAAAGACAGTGGGAATCTCGTTAATCCATTCATGTGTGTCACTAGTTAGATGATGAGGAAAGATGTTTGTGTGAAGCTTAGTTAATGACAGCAAGAAAATTTTAACAGCAGAGCGTACCAAAAGTTTGCAAATTTACACTTACACTTTGATGTCAATGGTAGTTTTCAATAGAAAGTTTGGTGAAGTTACTAGTATCACAACAATCCTACACTTACACTTTGATGTCAATGGCAGTTTCCAATAGAAAGTTTGGTGAAGTTACTGGTATCACAACAATCCTGTTTGAACATATGTCATTCAAGTCCCCTGATGCAGATCTAATGGACTTTTATGCATGCCTTTGGTCTTCATAAATGTAATCTTAGAAGACAAAGACAGCAATGGGACCTGCAATAATGTAAAACATAGTTATAATTGTCAGTACAAGAAAGAATGCTAGTTTTTTGAAGTAGGATAGGGGTTCAATTTAAATTTCAAAATATAAAATGACCAGGTGGTTAGGGCACTCGACTCACAATCTGAGGGTTGCGGGTTCGAACATCTGTCCCACCAAACATGCTCGCCCTTTCAGTCGTGGGGACGTTATAATGTGACGGTCAATACCACTATTCGTTGGTAAAAGATTAGCCCAAGAGTTGGCGGTTATGACTAGCTGCATTCCCTCTAGTCTTACACTGCTAAATTAGGGACATGCTAGTGCAGATAACCCTCTTGTAGCTTTGCGCGAAATTCAAAACAAACAAACAAACAAACAAAATATAAGAAACTAAGCCATATTTCTGATAGTTCTTCCTCTTTATAGAAATGGCTAATAACACTTAATACTTTAAACTTCATAAAGTTATTTTGTTTTAATAATGGATTTTCCATAATTCAGCTATACAGGTTTTGAAAATAATATTCATTTTTTTTCTATCAAGTAAGGATTTTTTACAAATTGGGAAAAAGAAAAAACTTACTTGGATCAAATTATTATTTCATTTACCACAATGAACATTTTTTATTATTATGTTTGTTTACACAAACCAAACTGAAGAAAAGGAAAGAACATTGATTTCAAACGAACATGCATCCTCATTCATCTTGATTTTTTTTTGTGAAATCTACGTCTTTTAGTCTCAAAACTACGTGTTGTGGTCTGTCTTATGTATTGCGTTATAACGTTTTGTGAAAAATCTGTACGTGATGGAGAAAAATGGATATAATTTTTGGATTCAGCATACAGGAATTACTGTAGAATATATACAAATTTCAAGACAGTAAAACCATTGGAGGCCTATGTTATTCATTCCTGCATATGGAGTAACATTTCTCTGATCAAAAACGTTGTAATTTGGGAGAAATATGTAGGAAATGCATGATGTGGTAATAAGCTGAGAAGTAAGAATCCAAGCTTTCTTTAGCTCAGTGTATTGAAGATTTGCAGTTTCATTGGTTATACTATGAATGATCATTTATAAACATGCCCATCTTATAAGGATACTTTTATGTGTATTTTAATGCAAACCAAATACCCAAATGTTTTTGTCTGTAGCTGGCTTGTAGTACTATGAAAAGAGGCTGCTATCACTTGCTATGTACAAGGCACAAAATAATTATGATGCAAAAGAATCATAATTAAATGTACTGTGAGAGAAATGTTTTTTTTTCTGATGTAATTATATAATTTCTATAAAATTATAGGTACCAACAAGACAAAGAAGGATACTACAGACTTCAGATGGTACGATATGAAAGTATTGAACTTTCACAGTCTGTACTGGAGGACCAGGGAGACAGCCAAGAAGTAGATGACCCTATGAGTGCCATGGAAACCACAGAAGATGAATCTTCCAGTCAGCTCACACAAACTGTGACTCTTGTTACAGAAACTGCTGAGGATGAAGATGACAGAGTAGAAGTGGCAGAAATGCCATTTGTAGTGTATGTTCAAGAAGATGACAAAGACAAGACTACAGATTCATCTGTGTTGGTTCACCTTCCCAAATCTGAAGAAGACAGCCTTGCTCCTGTTATTTATTTAAACAGTCAACAGACTTTAGAATCTATTAGTGATGTAAATAAAGGTTACCGAACCATTCAGATTGTAGAGCAAACTAGTGATGGCAAAACAGTACTTCAGACAGCTCATGTTCTGGCAGAAGGTAGTGAACAAAATGCCATGTTTCCACTAATAGGATGATTCTATAGTCACCAAGGCTATTGAGTGTTATTAATGTTGTTAATTGATAAAAGTAAGGAGAATAATTTTTGATTCATGTAACCAAAACCTTGGATATAATCAAAGAAAGAGTAATAATTTGAACAAACTAGTTGTATCTAGTTCTTGTGTTAGGCACAAAAAAGAAACTAGAAAAATCTAATAAAAGAAATCCAGACTTGTTAGTTTGAAAGACACTACAAAGTAATATTTTTTTCTTAAAACTGTATCATTTTGTAGTGAATTTTTGGTCATCCATCTAACATTAAAGAATTTATGGTTATAAAACACCTACTTTATTGTTTTTACTTTCACTGTTACTGAAAAAGTAACAATAAAATAATCTGATTTATGAAAAGTGAAACCAGTCTTTTCAACTTCAGATTCCTCTTGTTTTCATAATTGAGTCTACGATATATTTTAGCAATGTATTTTATTTTGTATGTTCTCTTGTTTTATGCTTCTGTGAATTTGCTTTTACATCATAATCATTTCTTTTCAGTATTATGATGTGAAGCTAACCTTCCCCTCTCACCAGTGATGTGGAAAATATATTAAATGAAAGTTCTGGAAATATAAAACTTGTGTTTTGAATATTAAATCAGTTGTTTATTATAAATTCTTGTGAAATAAAAGCAGTTCTAAAAACTTTAAAACAAAACAGCTTGAATGTGCTTTTTAAGAGATACCCACTTATGTTATTTCAACTAAATAAAAGTGATATAATCTTGCTAGTTTGCCTAGTGATGAGTTTTTAAATGTCTCCAGCAGTTAAGTAAAGGAATAAACAAGCTAGTCTTAAATGTTGTGGACAAAATATTGTACAGAAATAAACCCATTATTTCACAAATAGCCATCTCAAAACTTCATATTTTTTGTAAGTTAAAAACACATCACTAGGCAAACTAGCAAGATTATATCATGTTTAGTTAGTTGAAACTTTATCTTATGAGGTATTCTTCAATCCTCACTGAAATAACATAATAGTCGAGTATAATGGTGTGTTTCTTGCCTGAGGAAAAGATTAATGTAAGTTATAGCTGATTAAATTATGTTCACAAGGAAACTAGCTTAATGCAAGAACACTTGTGAAAATTTTAAAATATTCTACCTGATATTTTAGTTATAGTAAAGCTCTGGCAGTTTTTTCTGCAATATGTACACTGAAGCTCTTATTATCAGTAATAAAACTGAAACCTAAAAGTTTTATTAAGAAGTTCATTACTTTTCTAAAACTTCTAAACTAAACACACACTGGTTCTGTACATAAGACAGGAACCTAAATTCAAATTAAACTGGAAATATAAGAAATCATAATATTGCTTATTTCAAAACTTGATAAAATACTATAGTTTATACTTTAATTAGATTAAAATGTCCACTACCATGAAAAACATGTCCCAATGCACTAAGACTGTTTCAAAAACTACATGTAATGAATGTTTTTGTAAGGCTTTAAAAGAGAAGAGCTGGATGTGGCTTAGCTGTTAGCATGCCTGGACTATGAATCAGAGGCTTCCTAGATCACTTTCAGTTACAGCAGAAATGTGCTCTACACTTTGGAGCCATAGGTGCTGTATAAGAAAGAATGTAAAGTCCACTAGGATGAGAGTTAATGACTGGTACTATTGGCTAGCCTGCCATCCACATACCCATCATTTCAAAATTTGTGTATCTTTGAACAAAAATATAAAACAAATTTCAAAGAGAAATTTGGTCAACCTTATAGCTAATTAATGTTTAGATTAAAGTGCGTTTTCTAAAACTGTTTTGTAAGGCCTCCACCACCACCACCGGGCACAGTGGTAAGTCTGCAGACTTGTAATGCTAAAAACTGGGTTTTGATATTTATGTATTAACAACTACCCTGTTGAGATATAGTATTGAGTATGGCCTAAGCTAATCACTGTGGTCTGTACTAAACGTGTGTAGCAAGATATCCAAACCAAATTCTCATTTTATATTAAAATTTTTGATCTTGTGTATATTACATCCAAGTACATCATTAAATGTACACAAACTAACACGTATAGCATGAGACACACTGTGACAACATCCATATTTCCACTTGTGCTAAAGTATGCATATGGTTTTCAGGTGCCTAAAACATTGGACCACTTTTATAACATAACAAAAATAAAGAGTTATCACAGACTTGAATAAGTAGAAGTAGCCCTTTCAACCGTGGTACATAAATGTATCATCTGTTTCTTGATTTTATTATTTGTTCCATTGTTATTCTCTGGTGATGATACCTGTTCAGCCATCCCCCAGTGAGACAGGAGTAACTCTATGCATTTAAAACATTAAAGTCAGGGATTCGGTGGACACAGCGCCTTTGCTTGAATGAGAATGACAAGTCTCCTTTGATACGTCCAACTTTACCTGTATTATAAGAAACGTTGAGGCTGATCAGTCTTGGAGATAATTTCAACCTGATCAGTTGGAGATATAGCATCCAGTAGAAGCAAAGTGACTATGCTGTTATTAAAGATACTGAAAACAAAATAATGTATTAAATGAACAATCTTTAGTCAAACTCAGTACTACTACATAAAATCTTGTTGGACCTCCTCTTAAGCAGACCTATCCCATTGTTTTAAAGTTAATTCAGTTCGACTTAAATATACCACACTTCTATAATGATCCAGCTAGACCACATTTTTATTATTGTTAATTACAAAATACATTCGTATACATGCAGTCTAATGTAGCAGAAGCACCAGGAAATGTCCAAACTTAAGGAAAAGCATTGTATTGCCTGTTCCTAAGTCCAACCAAGTAATCACCTATCAGAAATGCTTCAAGAAGTAACTCGGATCTCTAGCTGTCTGGGGTGACGTTTGTTTATTTCGTACCACAGTTACATGTATCTTCAGAGTTTACCTCTCACCACTGGCCTTTTAACCAACCCTGGGATGAGATATTCCAAATGTCGGGAGTGTGGTAGAACGGGCTTGTAAGACTACACTTGGAGTCGTAGAAACCTGCACAGGGGTCACAGCATGATGAATTACCGAAGGTAACTCATCCATTAACTCTACTTGACCCAGGTTTCTCCATGACCCATGGCTGCCTTAGCCTTTATGGCATATGGAGGTTTAACAATGTCCCATGGATCACCATCTTGCCTACTGGTGAAACAATTATATATTTTACACTAATAGCGCTTCGATATTCTCTACCAATCAGAGATGATACTGACTAGAGATGGGATTCAGCTGCTCTGGTTAGTGAATGCTACAGAGTCTGATAAAGACTGCTCCATTCAATCTTGGATGCATAATGCTTAATACAATCACGATGGTCCTCACTCATCTGTGCCTCCTGTATTCTAAAGTCACACCTCAGGAGAAAGATCCGAGTGGTTGTTTTGGGTGTACCAGATTCTGACAGTCCAGGATCCCAGGTCTTTGGCAATAGCTCAAAAGATGTCAACAACCTTTCAGCATTAACGAGAATCCTACGTCTAAGAGAGGACTTTTGCTTGCCTTAACTATTTTCTCTTAGAACTCTCATGCCTCAGTATCTAACTCTTCTATGTGTTCTCAAGTCTTTTCAACCCCATAAAAATGTCATTTTCTCTGTTTTAAAGATTGAATTCGACATTAAGGGATTATAAAAGCACCAACAAATACAATCATCAGGTGAAACAAATACTCTGCAATAAGTATTGTTGCGTCAGTGAAGTCACGTGACTAGTATCATGCCACTTCTTTCTCGAACCTTCGTGAATTGTCGGGAGATTACTAGATTGGTGGTAGGCTGGTATATATAAGATGGTCACAACGTGACGGGACAATGTGTAGTTAATGAGTAATTGAATGTATGCGGACAAAATATTGTTGGCCACGTGAGACGTGAATTATAGTGTTGTTACAGAGCGACTGTTGAAATTAAGTGTATCGTAAAGTTGTATTCGGAAAGAATAAACCAGTTTTATTTAAAAAAGGACTTGTGTCGCTAAAGTTTCGTCGGAACGAATTTACGGAAAATTAACTAACGACAGGAGGCGTAACAGTATCCTGTTCACTAATGCTACATTATTCTATTTCCTTTTTACTCTGTGGTATGCTCAATTTATCCAGATTTTTCCTCGGGTATTTGGGTAGGAGCCACAGAATAACAGGAGGGTCAACAAGTACTATTTTTCAAAGCATAATCTGATATCTCTCAACTCTAACTGAGTTTCAAGCAAAGAAAGAGACTGAACACAGTAAAAAATGTTTATTTCACTATAAACACACATCAAATCACTTTAATAAAGGCTAGTGTATCAGGCACCTTTATTGGAGTGTATATGATTTACTGATTTAGTCTCAGTAGTTCTAATAAACAAGCTTGATGCAGCAGATATAATATGACCTATATAGTTTGCACAATAGCATCAAAGCTCTTCTCTAATATACACTTTACCACATGACTGAGGCCCAGTCTCACTATTTACCAGCACATCATATTTTTCACAATCGAAATACACTCATATACACAAAGTCTTATGCAGAATAAGACACCAGGAACAACTTCAGAGTCCCTTTCACATCATAACACGGCAATCGGACCCATTCAATATGTTTTTTTTATTATTATTACTGCCACCTCGTGGGTGTAAAAACCCGTAGAACTACGTAAATACGGAACATATAGCAAAATTTTTCTCTGATTTATATGACAATTTATTATGTTGTATTAGAACACAGCTCCATTACTGTAATTCAGGAAGACTGGTACAGTCTCACATAGTAACATAGCACAAGAGCATCTCATCGGCTTATGCATAACACTTCAAAATTAGAAAGTTTCTATAAGTTTGGTAACAATAAATAATGTTATTAATTCTTACCATAAAAATCTGACTTGTAAATGACTTAAATAAAATTGATAATGAATACAATTCTCTTGCTTAATCTGGTTTACATCATAACAATTGTTGTACATAAAAATTGATAATATATATAAAACACTTAGACTATTACTATGTTTGTTGTATCCCAGCTAGCTTAATGAGCCTTGGTATTGGGCAAAAGGCTTCATTGACACTAGATATGACAGATGTAGTGTGGGTGACATATTATAATATGTTTTCCTTTGCTTTCACTCATTTTTAACTGGGTATTAGGAATGCAAAATTTCGGCATATTGGTGTTGTTACGACAGCGGAAGTCACGTGACTAGTAACACGTCATGAGCTTATAGAAAAATCATGTCCCTTCGTGAATCCTCGAGTGTTTACTAGATGTGCGGTATTCTTGTATATAAGACCGTCAAGAAATAACGGCAACAATGGAATTGAATTGCAGACAGAGATAGAGACGACAATTGAGTCAAGCGCGTGAATCGTTCGTTCGTTGTGAATTATAGCGTTTGTTTAAGTTATAGCGTGGCTGTGGAAATTAAGTGTATTGCAAAGTTGTATTGAGAAAGAATAAACTAGTTTTATTTAAGAAAGGACTTGTATCGCTAAAGTTTCTTCGGAAATAATTTTTACGGAAAATTAACAAACGAACAGAGGCAGTATGTTAAAGTTTCTGGTTATGATCAGCAGTCAAAACTAACCACCAATTATTTAGGATATTATCTGACAACCTCATCTGTCGTTGTTATATACCTGGTTAGTATCGTGCAGTCTGCTCCATAGAATTGCCGCTAAACTCACTAGGTTTGTTATCCCATTCTTAAACATCCACTTAATTTCAGTGCTGATAGTACCCCTGGAGCTCCATAGAATTCTATGTAATGGTTGTTATATTAGACTTTAGTCACCTGTGTCTATATGACAGTTGACATGCGACTGTTGTACAACACAATCCATCATCTGGTGCCACAAACATATCCACAAACTCCTTGAGCAATTTGTTAACTTCACTAACAAGAGACTTTAGGGACTACGTATGCGTCCTCGAACATGGTAAAGTAGCTAGGACAGACACGACCTGCATGGCTGGTTTGTGTCCCTGTTTTCATGATGATGGTCATTCAGCTGGAAGCTGAATAACTAAATCTTCATAATTGCAGACTAGCATACATAAAACACCAGCACTCAGATAGCTAACTGTTTGAGAAATTGCTTTCCAGACAAACACAGTGTTTTATATGTCACTTCTATCAACAAAGCATATGGTGATAATGCCTTTGTCTCCACAGCACACCATGAAATACTTGCACATTTTGTGGTATCACTGTTGCTTTTTCAACAGCACACTTGCAGT